AGAGAGAGAGAGAACATGAGCACACAAGCAGGCAGAGCAGCAGACAGAGTTAGAGTGAGAAGCAGACTCCCTGCTGAGCAGAGAGCCTGATATGGGGCTCAGTCCCAGAACCCTGGGATCATGACCTGAGCTGAAAGCAGATGCTTAACTGACTGAGCTACCCAGGTGCCCCCAATAGAAGTGTTAGACTTTATGTAGATTAGAATTAGGGACTTAATTGTAGAAATATAACATATGTCTGTACAATTTCTGTGGCTATTGGCTGATTAATGTATTCTCATAGAAAACATTATTGTATGTGTACTACATGGCAGGCAAGATACTTACCATATATAGATCAACAGTAGCAAATAAAAAGCAGTCACAAGACTGTTTAAATTGACGTCTCCTACCAAAAAAAAAAAATAAATAAATTGAAGTCTCCTTTGTTTATGAGATAATTACTAGATACTACTACTCTGACATTGTCACCTGATGTCTATTAGACTCAAACTTCCGTTATCTCTCCTAAAACCTGCTCTACCCACAGTCTTCTCCACGTCAGTTAATGGTAACTCCTTCCTTCTCGTAGTTTGGCACAAAAAATGTTGAAGTCATCCTTGACTTCTCTCTTTTTTTCACATTCTTCATCTTAAGTGCTGTTCCTTTAAAACATATAAATAATCCAAACACTCCTTACTGTTTCCACTGCTGTCATGCTGGTACATCATCATCAGTTGAGTGGATTTCTGCAAGAACCCCTTGTATGTTCTTCCTGCTTAAAATAGCAACCTTGGTGATCCTATTAAAGCACAAGTCAAATCATGTTACTCCTGTTCACTTTCCATTGTATCATCCCCCCACATTCCTCATTTCTCTCAGTTTACTGTGAGAGTCAAGCCTTACAATGGCCTAGTCTCACCTTTGTCGACTGCATCTCTCATTACTCATTCCTTCCCTGACTCACTCCACTCCAACCCCACTGGCTTCCTTATTGTTCCCTGCACACTCCAGGCAGGCTTTTACCTTAGGCTTTCACACTTGCTATTCTTTCCTGGCGTGATGTTCTTTTCCCAGGTATTCAGTTCCGATTCGGTTGTCACAGTGTTTGAAGTACCTGTCCTGACTGCTCTCGCTCCCCCCCGCCCCGCCTCGGTCACCTGCTTCACCTTCTTCGTTTTTTACCCCCATGGCACTTACCACCTTTGTATACTCTGCAGTTTACTTACTATGTGTATAGTTTGTCTCACTCACTAGAATGCCATATTTATAGGGGTGAGGATTTTTGTCTGCTTTGTTCACCATTTTATCCCTTGCACAGAAGAAGAGTGCCCTGTGCATAATAATGTTCAACAAATACTTGAATGAATGGTACTGTACAAGAGGACTCTTCCTCACAATATCATTAATAGAGATTAGTGAGAAAAAGAATACTGAAAACAAGCCTTTTTGTTATTGTCAATAGACTTGTGGGAGATCTTTTCTTTCTATGTGAACCAAAAGGGGTGCCTTGGCCCCCCACCCCCGCTTTTTTTTTTTTTTGCTACCGACAATTGACCTTTCTTTGTCTGTGGGTCAGTCTGTTAAAATCCTTCAAAACCCCACATTCAAAGACTTTTTTTGTCAAATAGTAGTTAACGGTACCAAAATGTCTAGGCAGACTTCTTTCCATTTCCAAGAGCCAAGAGTCAGGAGGACTATGTACTTCTCTGGAAAGTTTGGGCCAATTAGCAAAGAAGAGTGTAATATGTATATCCAGAACACAAAGTCTCACAGAAAGGATCTGTTTCTTAGGTTCCTTGGATGTACAAAAGAGCCAACATAGACAGGGATGCCTCCTTAATAAGTATAATGCAACACAGTTTTCATTTCCACTGCTACTCTTGGCACCACTGCTCAAACTGATGAAAGAGATTCTTTCAGGGCACCAAATTCCCTTGATAAAATTTTAATGGGACTTGGATTTCTCAAAGATCCTTGGTGTAGATGTGGGTATGTTTCTCTCTGATCTTCAAAAGTGAAGATAGACAATGGGACTGTCTGAATGTATTTTAGAGTTATTGAGTAAACCCATAACTGAAAAAACCCCAGCAACATGTAGGACAAATCAAAATTGCATTTGTATAGATCTCACATGGATAGCTCAAGGTGGACAATTTCTAGAAGCCCATCTAGCCTTCAGAGTAGTAAGCATGGTTCTCAGGAGTTATCATAAAGTTTCAGCTTCCAACTGTAGCTAAAATTCTGCACTATGCATTTTGGTTCTTGGTGGCTATCATGCATCCTCACTGGAATGCCCATTCACGTTATTTTCACATGGCTCCCTGTATGTGATAGGGGAACATAAGAATGTTATCCTGTAGAGTGAAAAAGATTGGTGAAACATATAGCTAGTGTCAAATATTTGAGGAACTTTTGTTATAGAAGGTAAATAAAACTGAATTTTGGATAGGACCAGATAATTTCTAAGGTCTTCTTCTTACGATTTTATATATTAATGTAATTGATATGTTCGGAAGATAATTTCATGGAGGTATAATATAACCAAAATAGTGAATTATTATGTAGTAACTGAAATAAAGTACTATATTTATTCTCATTTCTCTCTATTTTTTTCTATTTTTTGGTAGTTTATTTTCTGCCATTGTAAAAATTCACTTTCTGTTGGTTGAGGACATGATTTAAAATTTCAAAATGAATAATCGCTATGACATAAGATCTTTTTCTTAATGTTTATTATAGAGGTTCCAGAAACTTTAGCAGTTGCAGTGCAGAGGACTTTGAGAAGTTAACTTTAAATAAAGGAGGAAACTGCCTTCTTAATATTCCAAAGCCTGATGAAGCCTATAGTGCTCCCTTCTGTGGTAATAAATTGGTGGACCCCGGGGAAGAGTGTGACTGTGGTACTCCAAAGGTCAGTTTAATTTTTGATTTTTGCTTTGTGAAGTTACCTCAGGATTTGGAAAAAAATGAATAGCTTGCTTTGGGTAACTGGCATAGGAGTTGGTGAAATTTAGTGGCAAATTAGGATTGGTATTTTGCTTGTGGGGATATATGCCTGGGATTGGTCATGTCTTCCTTCCCAGAACATAACTAATGGTGTCATCTGTTTTGACATCAAGGAAAGCACTGTGTTTATTCTTCTATTTTTTGCTACCTTCTGCCATTTCTGTTATGGTTATTAGGTCATTTATTTACTTTAAAGAACTAATCAGTTTTTCAGTTCGCTCTTTATTTGTAAGTTTCCACTGTTCTGGCACTACCATTGCAGAAATATTTATTCAGTTGGACTCATTTTAATAATAAATTGAAGCTGATCCATTTTCCAGAGTCCTTTAGGAACAGAATTCTTGCTACTTGGGTTAGCATTCTCCCTTTATTCACCTTCAGTGCTGTGCCTACTGATCTCTGGCTCTGTCAGACCTGTTATGCACACTTAGTGCCATAAGCCCATGCCCATCTTTATTATTATTATTATATATCTTAGCCATTCTCCTCTCAAAGTGGCCTGTGTAAAAGTCCTTTTCTTCCTGGCCTTGCATTAAATTTTGAAGAAATTTGTTTAGTAGTGTTTAAGCTTGACCATATTCTTAATGTTTTCCACAAGTACTTCTTCCGTATCTGACCATATCTGACTTTTGCCAGATGACTTCATGCTCTAGAAAGACAGCATGTATTTTATGATTTACTTGTGACGGGCCTTCCTTACACTGTTGCTGACTTTCAGGGACTTCTGCTAAATGTTTTGCGTGGGTAAAATCCTCACAATAACCCTAAAAGGTTGATATTTTTCATATTCTCATTTCAAATGAGGAAAGGAAGGCCCTAACAAGGTTTAAATTAACATTATACTCTTCGGGTGACCAGGCTCTTCTCCTTGCCAGGCATTCTCAGATCTTTCTTCTTTAAATATTATAAATCTTTTGCTTTCTCCTAACTGTTCACTTCACTACCAAACTTGCTGAAATGGTCTATATTTGCATTTTGAACTTTCACACTACAGAATTACTCTTTAAGAAAGAATACCACTTCTGTCTCAAATACCACAGATTTTTTTGGGTACAAAAGTTTAAATAGTAAGTACAAGCAAAGTTCCCCTTTCATACCATTATTTCCTCCATAAATTTTTAAACTTCCTTCTGCATTGGTAATCATTCTTAAAAGTTTAGTGTGTTTCTTTTTAGACTTTGTACCTTTATATACACATATATAAAATGTACGTTTGTAAGTAGTTGGGTTTGTTTTAGGATTTTGTTTTATTTTATTTTATTTTAAAGATTTTATTTATTCATTTGAGACACAGAGATACAGAGAGAGAGAGAGAGAGCATGAGGAGGGGGAGAGGCAGAGGGAGAGGAAGAAGCAGGCTCCCTGCTGAGCCAGGAGCCCGATGTGGGGCTCGATCCCAGGACCCTGGGATCATGACATGAGCCGAAGGCAGATGCTTAACCATCTGGGCCACCCAGGCGCCCCAGGATTTTATTTTGTTTTGCATATCAGACTTAATATGTTGTATGTAGAGGTTTTTTTTGTTTTTGTTTTCTATTAATATATCTTGGAGATTTTTCCATGTCATTACCTTATGTAGACATGATCTTTTAATCTGCTGATTAGTATTCCCATAGAAGGATGTACTGGTATTCCCATTTAAGGATATACTATGATATCTTGAACCATACTCTCATTAATGGACATTTACTTATTGTAATTAGTATTTTTGTGTTGCAAACAGTACCTCTTTGTGCACATCCCATGTATATATAGGCAGGTATGCAAGTATTTCTCTAAAATAATTACATAAGGGTAGAATTACTGAATTGAAGAGTATGTGTTTTTAAATTTTATTAGAGGCTATGAAATTTCCTACAAAAAGCCTGTGTCAATTTGCACTTCTATCAATAGTTTATTGTGGCATTTGGTGCCCCCCTACAGTATAGTCTTTCCAGGAAAGAATAATAAATATTTTCTTAAGAAGATACTGTTTCAGTTCTTAATCTTTTCATATGCTTATAGACTATGTGCATATTTTTTTGTATGAATGACCATTTTATATCCCTTATCAATTTTTCTGTTGGGTTATTCTTTTAAATTGATTTTTAGGAGCTCACACGTATTGTGGGCAAAGTCTGTTGTTTTGTATATATTTTAATATTTCTCCTTTGTAGCTTACAATTCAGCTTTTAAAAAATTAGTTAACTTTATCTTTTAGGGAAGTTTTAGGGTCACAGAAAGATTGAATGGAAAGTACCAAGAGTTCCCATATACCACCCCACACACAACCTCCCATACTGTCCACATCCTGCAGCACAGTGGGACATTTGTTACAGTCGGTGACTACATTGACAAGTCATCATCACCCAGAGTTTCCATTAGGGTTCTCTCTTTTCTTCCCCCAGTCTTGCTTTTTAATTATAATTTTTAATTCATTTCCGTTTTGTGTTCTATCAGTTTTTTTCTAGTTTACGTTTTTTCTTCTCTTTTCATTTCCTTTATTTATTTACTGTTCATTTATTTATTTATTTTTTAAGTTTTTATTGAAATTCCAGTTACCATACAGTGTAATATTAGTTCCAGGTGTACCATATAGTGATTCAACACTTCCATATATCACCTGCTGCTCAGCACGCCAAGCACACTCCTTAATCCCCATCACCTATTTCACCCATCCCCCCGACGCTCTTCCCTCTGATAACCATCAGTTTGTTCTCTATAGTTATGAGTCTGTTTCTTGGTTTGCCTTAGGATTCACTCTTGACATTTAGCTTTTCATAGGATGTATTTTATTATACTGAAATTTGAAATTTAAATGAAGGAAAATTTATGAGTTTTTTTCCTTAAGATTTAATGAATTTTGTATTTTGGCTCTGCTTGTGGTACTCTTATTTCAAGATTGTCATCATAACCCCTCCATAATTTCTTTTAGCATTTTTGTAATTGAAAAGGTTTATATTAGCTCTTTAGTTGAGGGGGGGCCACGTGAAATAAGCTAGGGCATTAACTTATCCACTAATGATCAGTTGTTATAAAACCATTTAAAATTGTACTTATAAACAAAATTCCTGTGTATATAGTTTGTTGCCTCATTCTTTACTCTTTTTTGAAGCCATATGTCTTACATAGTGTTTTTGAAAACAATTTGGCGGCTTTATTAAAGTATAATTGAATACAATGTTTAAAGAAACCAAATTTGGACTTAGATAATGAAAGGCTTTATTCAGAATAAAGACTATTGTAATAGGGAGAATGCTCTGATCTCAGAAATCTGAAAGCATCTTAAAATGAAATAAGAAAGGGTTTTTCTTTTAAAGGGTCAAGGTGAGGGCAAGCTGATAAGCAGAATCTTTTAAGAGGAAGCTGGATAAGCAAGGGGAAATGACTAGTGAGGTCTGATATGGAAGTGTTCTGCTGTGGTCAGCTGATTTCCACGAATAGCTGATAGGAGGGAGGGGGTGGCACACTCCACGTTTTCTGTAGGGACAAGCAGAGCTCAGGGGCCTGTAGGAAAGAGAGAAGCTTTACTAAAACACTAATAACTATGTTAGGACAGAGCAAAGAGTAAGAAATGTGCAATTGTGAAAACTTGGTCAACAATTAACTGCATATACTTAAAGTATACAAGTTGATACATTTTTGACACATGTATACTTGTGTGAAACCATCGTCATGATCAAGGTAATAACCACATCATTATCCCAAAAAGTTCTTTGTGACTCTTGGTACTCCCTTCTTTCCACCCCCCCCTTTTAAAAAAGATTTTATTTATCCATTTGACAAAGGGAGAGTACAAGCTGGGGGAATGGCAGGCAGGGGGAAAGGGAGAAGCAGGCTCCCCGCTGAGCAGGGGAGCCTGATGTGGGACTCAATCCCAGGACCCCCAGGATCACGAACCGAGCCGAAGGCAATCGCCTAACCAGCTGAGCCACCCAGGCGCCCTTTCCATCCCTTTTTGTTCTCCCATCCTCAGGCAATCACTGATATCTCCTTTCTGTCATTATACATTAGTGTGCATTTCCTAGAATTTCATGTAAGTGGAATGATTTTTTTTTCCTCTAGCTTCATTCCTTCTGCATAATTATTTTGAGATTCATCCATGTTGCTACTGTGTCAGTAGTTCATTCCTTTTTATTGCTGTTTATCATTGAGTAGTATGGATATGATACCGTTGGTTTATCTTTTCATCTGTTCATGTACATTTGGGTTCTTTCCAGTTTTTGGCTATTAACACGTAAAGCTGCTATATGGGAAAACTTGCATACAAGTCTTCATATGGACTTATGTTTTCATTTCTCTTGGGTAAATGCCTAGGAGTGGAATGACTGGGTCATATGTTAGGTGTATAACTTTTCAAGACATTTTCAAACTGTTTTCCAAAGTGTTTGTACCATTTTACATCCCCACTGTCAGCGTGTGAGAGTTCTAGTTCTTTTACATCCTTGGCAACACTTCATGTAGTCAGTCATTCAGTTTAGCCATTCTCTTGAATGTGAAGTGGTACCTCACTGAGGTTTTAATTTGCATTTCCTTAGTGACTAGTGATGTTGAGTATGTTTTCATGTGCTTATTTGCCGTTTGTATATCTTTTTTTGATGATGTGTCTGTTCACCTCTTTTCCCCATTTTGAAAATTGGATAGTTTTGGGAGTACTTCATATATTCTGGATATAAGTCCTTTATCCAGATTTGCAGATATTTTCTCCCAGTCTCTGGCTTATCTTTAATTACCTTAACAGTGTTTTTTGAAGACTAGAAGCTTTATATTGTGATGAAAGCCCATTTTACCAATTTATGCTTTTATGGGCTATGCTTTTTTGGTGTTATATCTCAGGAATCTTTGTCTAATCTAAAGTTGCAAAGGTTTTCTCCTAGAAGCCTTTTAATTTTAGGGTTTACATTTAGGACTATGATCGATTTTGACTTCTTTTGTATGGTACAAGGTTTAAATTAGAGTTCATTTATTTATTTTAAAAATATTTTTATTTATTTATTTGATGCAGACAGAGAGGGGGGTGGTGCACAAACAGAGAGAGAGGGAGAGGCAGACTCCCTGCTGAGCAGGGAGACCAATTCAGGGCTCAATCCCAGGACCCTGGGATCATGACCTGAGCTGAAGGCAGATGCTTAACTGACTGAACCACCCAGGTGTCCCTAGAGTTCATTTATTTTTACGTTTTTATTATGAAAAGATTATAAACTGATGGGAAGTTACATAAACAGTGCGAAGAGCCCCATGTATTTTCACCCAGTTTCTCCCAAAAGTGACATCTTATGTAGCTCTCATGCAATATAAAAACCAGGACATTAACACTGATGCATTAACTAGATCACAGACTTTCAGTTTTCACCGTTTTTAACCACATTTGTGTATGCGTGTATATGTATAATTTTATCCCATTTATTGATTTATGTAAACACCACCTCAGTTAACACAGAGAACTGTTCTATCATCACACAAAAAAACTCCCTGCTGCTACCTCTTTGTATTCATGCCCACCCCCAACTCCAGCCCTGACCCCTTCCCCCAGCTACCTCTAATCTATTCTCTATCTGTAGTGTTGCCATTTCAATAATGTTATATAAATGGAATCATAAAATATATACTCTTTTGAGACTGACTTTTCACTAAATGTAATGCCTTTGAGGTCAGTCTAAAGTTGTTGTATGTATTAATATTTCATTCCTTTTTATGAGTATTGTTCCATTGGATGGATTTTACTACAGAGAACGTGGAATAATGTTTATGCTGGTATTTCCACCAGCCCAGAGGTCCTGCCTGGAGTTTGTTTAACCATTGTTTAACCATGCAGAGTTTGCTTAATCATTCACCCATTAAAGGACATTTGGGTTGTTTTCTCACATTTTGCTATTAGAAATAAAGCTGCTATGAATTGTATTCCACTATTTATCATCAAAGAATTAAAGAAAAATGTGGTCTTCATGATCAAAGAGATAAAAAATTTTAGAAAGAATGTAAATTATAATAAAGAACCAAATAGAAATTATAGAACTAAAAAGTCCAATAAATGAAAGTTTCACTGGATAGAATTAATAGCAGACTAATACAGCAGAAGAGTCAATGAACATGAAGCCGATCAAAAGAAATAATCCAATCTAAAGAACAAATAGAAAAGATAAAAGAAAAATGAACGGAGAATCAGGGACACGTAGGAGATATCAAATAGTCTAATATAACTGTTAGTGAAATTTCAGGAGACTGAGAATGAAAGAAAAAATAAAAGAAATAATGGCTGAAAACCCCCCTAATCTAGGGAAAAACATTGACTTACAATTTCAAAACACCAAGTGAACCCATGCCAGAATCATTACAAAGAAAATTCACTTAGGTATACTGTAGTCAAAATGCTGATATAAAGGGAAAATAATGAAAGAAACCAATAAAAAACAGGGGAACAAAGATATGAATGGCAGCTGATTTTTTCCCTGAAACAGGGCTAGAAGACAATAGAACAGCATATTTACAGTTCTCAGTGGAAGAAACTGTCAACCTAGAATTCCACAGTAGTACAAATATTCTTCAGAAATGAAAGAAAGCTTATTTCCTCGGCCCCCTCTCTTCCCCTCCTCCTTCTGTCCCCTGTCTTATTCTTTTCCCCTCCTTCTCCCTCAAACAATTCAGACCTGAACACATTAGCTGGAACATAGAGGAGGTGTCCCTGCGGGTGGGAGGTTGTGGGATTTGTGTGTGGGGGTGTGATGGGGAGCCATGGAGGCTTAAAGTGAGGTGAGAGAAGCCAGGCAAGATAAAAAGAATGTCCACATAAGGTGAAGACACACCCATTAGAGAAATCAGACCTTGAGCATGAGGAGAAAGGCATTGATGGATGCTTAATTCTCCGTGATAATTAAAGAAACTTATGACTGAATGTATTCTCCTCCCCCAAATTCATATGTTGAAGCCCTAGCCCCCAGGGTAGCTGTATCTGCAGATGGGGCCTCTAGGTAAGTAATTAAGGTGAATGCTGTCAGGATGGGGTCATGATCTGACAGGGTTAGAGTTCTTAAGAGAAGAGACCCCGAAGAGCTTGCTTGCTCTCTCTCTGTCAGAACATCCACACTGAAGAGGGGCCATGTGAGCACACAGCGAGAAGGCGACTGTCTGCAAGCTAGGAAGAAAGTCCTCTCCAAAAACCGAATTGGCTGGAACTTTGTTTGGACCGCTAGCCTGTAGATAGTAAATTTCTGTTGTTGAAGCCACCAGTCTATGGTATCTTGTTCTGGCAGTTCCAGCAGACAAAGAGGCATTCTCTGTATGATTTCAGTCCTTTGAAAGATGTTGAACTTTAAATGGTTATAAATGAAGAGTCACTGATAACTTCAGAAGGATAGTAAGTGATTTTCCAGAGAGTAACTGCTATAGCCCAGTTAGAAAGAAGATTTTAGATCTGAGTTAAGACTTTGATTAATGAAAATTGATGACAATGACTCCTTTCCTTATTGACAGTTATTTTCTTTTCACAGGAGTGTGAATCCGACCCTTGTTGTGAAGGAAGTACTTGTAAACTTAAATCATCTGCCGAATGTGCATATGGTGACTGTTGTAAAGACTGTTGGGTAAGTGTCATGAGCACACTATGAAGGCGCACACACGAGTTGTGTCGTTCCACAATGTCAGCTTTATTCAATCCTAAAGCAAAGTTAAATCACAATTAGAAAGCAGGTTTCAGGATTCGAAACTCAGTGACAATCAATTCACCATGTGATTAAACTTGGCTTCTTACACGGCACCCAGAGCAGGAGAGAAGACAAACCACACAACGAACAAGATAACAGAAGGTACAGGAAGTGAACGAACGAAACTCAAAGTCAGTCTGTGGGCATGTGGTTGAGCTAAGGCCTTGGTCTGGTCCAGGTCAGCTGTCCGCACTGGGCTTCTGATGTTCTAGTGGTGAAGGCTCCCGGTTCTGTTCAGAGATCACGGAGATCAATGGGGCAGAGCCTTCCATGGCAGTTGCCTTTTTTAAGTGGTCAAACAGAGGGGTCAGGTCTGAAGAGTCTGACAGTTTTCTGCCAAAATCCTTCCCTTTTTAAAGGGATTTAATCGGTTTTGGGTCTCTGCAGACCTCCTCTGGTTCTTTGTGATCAGTTCTGGGGTGTCGGCTGACATGGGTCCCGGTGATACCTCCTAGCTGCAGTAACTGAACTGCTCACGTCATTGCTTGACATAGTCTCCTGCTTGACGTGAGAGACTCCTTTTTGCTCTCTACATTCCACCCCATGATTCCTCATGGCAAATTCTGTAAGGGCCATGCAGGAATCAAGTATGTCTTACAGCAGGATGGCAGTAGTAGTTTGGTAACATAGCAAAAGGCACTTTTAGGTTATTTAATCAAGTTTTCAATAGAAATCAAACAAAATCAGTTAAATTCAAACCATGTAAGATAAAGAGCACATCAAATCCAAACAAGATAGATATATTAAAATGAATCAAGCAAACACAAAAACTCCAACTCAAAGTCACATCTAATTGAATAAAGTCAAACAAAAAGAAGATAAAAATAAAAAAAGTACATATGGAATCTTCAACATAGGCTCTTGGTGTATCCAGAAAAGAACGGCGAGGGTATGGTTAATCATAGTCTTTCTGTGATTTTTTTCTTTTTAAGTTTAAGAGTGCATAACATTCTAATAGCATATTTAATAAGATATATAGCAAAAATGATAACTAAAAGAACTTCCTTAATGGATTCCCAAACATGTGTAGAGATAATTCTATCCCATCTTTAGGTATTTTAAAGGGTTATAGTCAGATCAGAAGCCAAAACAAATCACCTGTTTGAAGGGTTTTGCTAACAATTCTAGAAAGGAACATTTATTATGTAAGTTTTCTATGTCTTTGTTTAATGCAGCTAAGTTAGTATTAGTGATGGCTCAAGCTGCATGAATGGCCTGCGTAGCATTTTTAAAGTGGGTTAGCTTGTTGGTTAAGATTTTATGGGCTGCTTTGAGTCCTTGCATGTTTTCATCCAAAAGTTTATCAATTTTGTCAGTTTTAACCCAAGGTATTTCTGTTATTTTATATGGTAAGATGTGGGAAGATCTTTGTATGAATATTCTGAGATGTAGGTACCCATTTTGGCAACATGATTACATGTTACATTAATAGCATAGAATATTTTAATACATTCATTGTTTATGGTGATAGTAGTATCCTTCATTTTAGTATGATTGAAGAATTTAACCTCTGAATAACCATTAGCACAAATTATCCAAGTAAAGTGTCCCATGTTCAAAAATAACTTTTCAATGGATGTTCTTGTTAAAGGAAAAAGATTAGCATTGATTTCCAATTCATGCCAGGTATAGTACATGTTATGAGATCATTGAAATACCATTCCTTTGGGTAATAAATATCCATCCATCCACAGGGGTGTATGTGTTGCCAGAATGCAGTATTACCATGTATTTGTTGTGGCACAGCATATGAGTCATATACTAGTAGGCTTTGACCTCCTAATACTCTTTTTTTTTTTTAATTTTATTTTATTATGTTGTTAGTCACCACACATTACATCATCAGTTTTTGATGTAGTGTTCCATGATTCATTGTTTGTGTATAACACCCAGTGCTCCATTCTGTATGTGCCCTCTTTAATACCCATCACTAGGCTAAC